AGACCACATAAATGTTATTAATTATAGAAAGAAAGCTTAACCCACTGGGTTCCTACATCTATCCCTACCACTTTAATATCTGCCTTAAACAGCTGTTTTTCTGTTCCTTTTTTACCAGCGAGTAATTAGATAGCAACTCTCCTCTTTTTGCCCACTTATATCAGTGTAAGACAATATATCAGTCACTGATTAGGTTATAATGATTAAAGTTTGTAATGGTTGCTATAATGTGGTTGTGCCACATTATTTGTCTTTGGAAAAGTATTGTGCCATTGATAGTGATGCCACCAGAGTATAAGTAGGGATAGTATAGTGAGAATTACTGAACTTCTTAAAGATTAATTAGATGATTTTGTCTGTTTAGTTCTGTTATAAGGAAGTTTTGTTTATTCTTGTGATAAGTCTTCAGTGGATGCCAATCATTGAACAAATATAATCTAAACTTCCCATCTTGTAGCATGCAGTAATCCAAGACACACCAGCATGAGTCACTGTGTGCACTCTTTTCAGTGTCTGGTTGCAATTTTTTCCTTCACTCGAGTATATCAGTTTACCTAGCAGTGTCTATTCTCTTCTTTTCTAAGGCAGTTGTATATCCTTTTCTGAGAAATCTTCATTGGATGCCAGATGTTAAAGACATAAGATCTGATCATGAACAATAGCTATGATATTGCTGGTAATTAGAGTAAGACTATGAAGTAAATGTTGTGCCTGTGCCTTTGGCACTTGGGTAAATAGCTAATAACCACCACACATGTTAAAGAAATTGCTGACATTCACACCCAAGCCTCCGGGCTACTACAGTGGTAACATGTCGGCCTCTCATCCGAGGGGTCGGCGGTTCATGCCCCGCCCAGGCGCGATAAGTTGCAATTGTCGCCTGGAGGTTACTGCTGTGGCTGGGCACCACGGCGGGTAAGGACTAAGCTCATCCGAGTCAGCACCAGCTGACACACTGTTAGCGAGTCAAAATTAGTCGGCACAGGCCGGGCTCCCCTCATAGCCCGGGCGAGGCTCAGCTTCGCATATCATACTTATCCTTATTCACACCCACATCCACACTAACATCTATACACACACACCTACACCCCAATCCACTCACACCCACATCCACACTCTCACCCATACACCCACAATCACATATATATCCACACTCACACTCACCAATACCCACACATGCACATCCACGCTCCCCCATACCCACACTCACCCACATCCACACACACACACACACATACCCATACTCATACGCACATTCACACACACCTATAACCACATCAACACATCCACACACTCACCCATACCCAAACTCATACCTACATCCACACTCAAACCCACTCACACCCATATCCACACTCACCCACACTCATACCCACATCCACACACACCCATACCCACACTCATCCCTTCATACATACCCATACCCACACCTACACTCACACTTATATCCACACACACATACCCACACCCATACTCATACCAACATTTACACACCTGTACCCACATCCACACTCACATCCATACACCCATACCCACAACTACACAAACCCACATCCACATTCACACCCACATCAACACTCACATCAACACACATCCACACACCCATACCCACAACTACACAAACCCACATCCACACTCACACCCACATCAACACTCACCCATACCCACACTCACATCCACTCACACCCACACATCCATACCCACACCTACATCCATAAACCCATACCCACACCTACATCCACACACACACACACACACACACACACACACACACACACACACACACACACACACACACACACACACACACACACACACACACACTCATACCCACACTCACATCCACTCACTCACCCATACTTGCACTTACACCCATATCCACACTCAGACCCACAACCACTCACATTGACATCCACACACCCACATCCAAATGCACACATTCACCCTCACACTCACAATCACACACCCCTATACACACAAGCCAATATCACATTAGAATATAAATTATACTGTTAGGTTGTTTCCCTGAAAATAAAAAGTAAAGCTTTAGCTGTGTAAAGTTCAAGTAGTCTGCCATTTCATGATCACTATGAGTTCTCTTTACCACTTCATACACTTAATGCCCTGAATTGATCCGAAAACATTTATTTCAATGTGAAAAGATGGGGGTCAGGATCAAAATACATCTTGTAAAGATAAAATCTACTTTATTCCACTATTTTAATAGATAGAGAAATGGTTCACTACATTTCATTTCACCAGACTGAAATGGATTAAAGACATGAATATCTATATGACCCTTATAATCATGCAGCAAACTTGGAAGCAATAATTGATGTAAGAAAATTTGACCATCAAAAGCATGCAGGGTTAATTTACCTTGCAATTTCCTTTGTATGCCTCATGCTATCTCCACACGGCAGAACTGAATATTTGAGAGACTTGAAGTAATATGAAGGAAATGTATTGAAACTTTGACACATAACAAGACATGTGATATGTTGTTATGTATTATATTAGATACCTGATTTATTTACAATTTGCAACAGATATTTGATGGAGGAAAATTATCTTAGAATTAGGTTTAAGGAGGTTTAGTTCTTTGTCAGAGCAACTTCAGACACATTCTGAGTAGCCTTTTTAACTGATTGTACCATTATCCATCTTCACACCTTTGATATAACATATATCATTGATCATTCCTTTATTCTAATGCAACAGTATTGCTTATTTTTCTGTACAGTTCTGTTTGAGACAATTACTTTTGATCCAAGCCTTCAGTGATTAAATAAAAAACAAGTTTTGTACTATGAATTGTCATGTATTATTAAGAAAATTAAACCTAAATCACCTTATTTTATGCTTCAGCTTCAGTTTCATAGTCAGAATTGAACTTTCTTATATATAACATTCATAATGATTACTATTTTTGGTAAGATATAGATATGAAAGTGACAATAAAATAATTTCTAAACATCATGAATTTTCTCTGTTTGAATTTCTTAGTTGTACATAAGAAGTGTTCCAAACCTCAGACCAGTTGATGTCCATTTTTTTATTTGAAAAAATAAGAAATTTAACTTTTTCAGTTAAATAGATGGTTCCCTTTTTGAGGCCTCTCTGTAACAAAGAATTGGAAAGAATTAAGTATTGGAAATCAGCGAGATGGAAATGATGAATAGCTTCTTTAAACAAAAACAGTATCAGATTACAGTCATGTTGGTTATACCATGGTCCGCCATAAATTTCAGCCTGTAGTAGATGTGGTGTATCTACTACTCATCTAATCTATATATCTTTATGGAGTGTTTAAATGAGTGTGAGTGCCCACTGTTTTAGGCTAGGTGCTGTAGATGAAGTAAAGTTGTATGGGGGAGCTGGGGAGGCTCCTCAGTTGGCAAAGGACTGGGCAGTCCTGTATTGCTGCTACTAGGCAGAGGTGTTCTTGAATTGTGATCAATGATTATATCAGTTCAGATTCTGAAGCTTAAGTAGGTGTCAGTGAACCAGGAACAAGGGAAGCTTGCAGTCCAATGAGAGAGCCACGAGGTGTCCGGTGTCAATCAGTTACGTCTTAACAGTGAGACGTGATAACCACCTGCTGCTGAGAGAAGGAGGACAAGACTGTTGCACCTGGAGTGCCTAAACCTGGGAAGCATCTGGAGCTGAGTTGTGCAGGTTGTGGTGGCTGCTACAAACTCAAACTTACATAGTCAGGGGAGTTAGCTGTTGCTCAATATTCATATGCATCTTAATGCCTAGAAAAGGAAGTTGTTAGTTCAGGTTGTGTACAGTTATCTTATGTTACTTGGTATTCTAAGTTAGCTAAGGCAGTACATAGTGTAGTATATAAAAGTTCTAGGGAACATATTCAGGCTGCACATGTTTTTTCCAGATTGTACTAAATTTCCAGGAACAAACAAAGAGACCAGTTCTTTGTTGTAGTAACAGTTGTAAATTGTGTAAAGTCCTATTTCTTAACCCAATGCTGCCGAGGAAAATTAACAAACAATGGGGAAAATGCTGTGCTCATTTTCTATATTTTTTGTGAAATGTCTCTGCACATAGATGGCTCTACTAGTGCTTAGCCACAAAGGAGACAATTAGTAGACCTTGTGACCTTACCTGATTTGAACTGGCGGGAAAAACGTAGTTTTTACTAGTGCTATGAATATCGATGGTGTTATTTTTATTATAAACATTATAATTACTATAATGTTATAAACATTAGTAACAGACAGGCAGTACTCATAACTGGCTCATTGGTAACTTAGTACAAGTGTAGCCGTACTAAAACAATCAAACAAGTAACTCACAGTAGGCACAGCCTATACTTACACGTCATGCCTGTCGGCATTGGGTTAATCTTGTACTGTAAATGATTTGGTTCATCTTTACCCTTTTAACTAAACTATTCCATGATATTGTGATGTGGTTATATCGAGGGTGTTCTATCAGATGAATTTGTTTAAACCTTAAAATATAGTCAAGATTTTAACAGTTTGTTGCTCATTATTGAAGATCTGTTAATTATTCTAAGAAAAAACTTGTTTTTTGCACAGTACATTATTTTCTTTTTTCAGGTAGTATCATATAGTAAAGGCCTGTATTTTCCAATTTACAACCATGTGGTTGTAGGAAGTTCCTTTTTGTTGTTACTGTTAACTTGTAAGTGTCATTTATTTTCATAATTCCAGTTTGATGCAATGGCAGGAGGAGAACTTTCAGGTATGGGAAGTTTAGAGGAAATACTGATGAGAGCTACTGAAGGTGAAATAACAGAGAATGATCATCTCCCTGAGAGCTGTGGAGGTGATGAAAGTGGAGAAACATCACTAGTCTTACAGGAGCAAAGGTATCATCTGTCTATATGTTATTATGATTTTATGTCCCTTTATTCAGTTAGGAAGATTTTGTCATATAATTGTTGAACAGCTGTGATTTATGCTTAGGTTTCTTATTTTTCAGCACTAGGGAACCAGTACAAATTTATGCCATTGATATGGACATCAGTGAGCGTATGGGAACACTGAAGGCCCGAGCTGCTGAAGCATTACATCTGGATTTGCAGAACTGTAATGTGACTGTATTGTCAGAAAAGGAGGTAAATATTATTTTTCAGTGGCATCATTTATTACCTTTACCTCACTTTGCTAACAACTTTATTAAATCAAGGTATATGGAAATATTAAATTGTTTTTGCTTTGCACATATACTGGATATCTAATGAGGAGGCTTTATTCGTATGATTCATGGTATTCTTAAATAACTGGCTACTTTCATTTCTAGCTGAGTGATGAACAAACTCTGCAGGAACAGTGTGGAACAAGTACTGGCCTGGTGCAGATACAGTTTGTTGTGAAGAATGACAGTGCAGGCAGTCGTATTGACATATTAGATGTTCTTAAGCCAAATGAAGGTACAATAATAGACAATTTCTTCTCTGTGTTATTTTTTGTCCATAATATGTATGTTACTTAAAATATAGCTGAGATACTTTTACTTTTGAATTTCAGACTTAAAATAAGCAAAGAAAAACAGATTGCAGTTATTATATATTGTAACTGAGGTTTATTATATGAATTATGAAAGAAGGTCAGTTGAAATTCAACTGAGAATGAATCTTAGGCAAGAGTGAATATGAATGAAAGAAAGATAACTTTAAATGTTGATTAGACTATTTACCAAGTATTATTAATGGGAGACTGGTGACTTTTAGTCCAAATTATCCCATTTTAAATTCCTTGCTGAAAATCTTCAATAAACTTAATGTTATGCATGCCCAAAAAAACATCCTCAGGGGAGCGGGAGCCTCATCCACCCAGTGTAGTGAAAATCAGCTCCAATTAATCAGTCATTAGGGCACACTTTCCCTTATAATCTCACTGAAGTAAAATATCAGCATATGGTATCAGGATATGGCAACATTCCACTCAGCTAGAGAGAAGGAGTAGAAGGGGGAGGAAATGAGACTATAAGCCAGTAGATATCAAAAGGCCGAGCTTGGAGTGTGCAATGCACCACTCAGTGCAACCGTCACAGAAACTTTATGAGCCATTCTTGAAAGCAATGATTATGCATAAGAAACTATATAGAAAATCCAATATCTTCAAGTTTTTGTGAAACTTTGTAGAAATGTTGAGTATAGAGAGTGAAATGAATGTACGTACCCGGAATTTCACATTGTAAAGAAAATAGAATTATGGCTGTAAAGTAACATAGGGTAATAGCACAAGATAATGACAAAAGGTTGTAAAATTGCATTGCTATGCAGCATATGAATAAAGAAGAAAATCAGAGTATGTAAAAAGTTTTACACTATACTCAGACAAACTTTCATTCATGTTGATCAATTATTAAGTCCGTTACCATGAAAATAGTAAATGACTTCATGACATAGAACATCTACATGGATACATTCATTAGTTTAGTTGCAATATTTTTTTTTAACAAGAATTATTTCCCTTAAAGGGGACCATCCCAGCTGAGGCCTACCTTGCTCTAGTCATTTGAAGATAAAAAGATAATGGTTTTAGATAACTATTTTTTTTTTTTTTTTTTTTTTTTTTTTTTTTTTTTTTTTCATGTTATAAAGTATATAATTGTGCTTCCCCTCATATATCATCTAAACTTCACACTCTTTTCTCTTTATGGTCCACAGAACCAGAACTAGTCATATTTTTCCCTTAAATTACCAAAAAAATATTCTTCAGTTTGATCAACCCCTTGTGAAGGTTGTGATGTAATTTTTTTGGGGGGGACAGTCTGCCATAGTGAACTATATTTTGTTAATTCTTTTATTTATACATATTTTTTTTTTTTTTTGTGTGTGTGTGTGTGTGTGTGTGTGTGTGTGTGTGTGTGTGTGTGTGTGTGTGTGTGTGTGTGTGTGTGTGTGTGTGTGTGTGCATGTGTGTGTGTGCATGTGTGTATGTGTGCGCATGCATGTGTGCGTGTGGATATGTGTGTGTGCTTGTGCGTGTGGATATGTGTGTGCGCGTGTGCATGTGTGTGCATTGCGTGTGCATGTGTGGGTGCATTGCGTGTGTGGGTGCATTGCGTATGCCCTGTGCATTCTGATGTGCTCATGTAAGCAACCTTATGATTTCAAGACATGGGAAAATTACAACCACTGGATGGTTCTGCATGTAAATAAAGAACTGAGAACAGGCTGTTGGAAATTTGGACAGACATTTGCCAAAGTTAGTCATTTCTAATATTGCAAAAAAGGTCCCAATGGTAGCCATAGACCCCAGTTTGGGTACTGCTGCTCCAGATTATATCATAGTATATATATATATATATTTTTTTTTTATGAACAGGAGAGTTATTGGAAAACAAATCTCAAGTATCATCCTCACAAGTATCTAAGCCTGTCTCTGCTGGAGCCAAAACCACAGCAAAAGTGCCAAAGACAACAAGATGGATTGTCTGTCCGGCATTCAAAGAGCTTCAGCGTGTTCTAAAGATCCCACAAAGTAAATGAATGTTAGAAAAGTA